ATGAACTTTTTCTCCTACGCTTGACTTCTCATTCACGCATCCACTTTGGGAGGGAGGCTAGTACGTATTGACACGTTCATCATAACAACATCAGTTGACCTTGAATTTCTGAAGTGAATTAAAACTGGTTCATTGTCTCGTTAGCGTGTATCGACTAAGCTGTACCCGCTTCAGTAGTTTCAAGCGTACCTAGTGATGAACATAACCTAACAGATTCATTCACTAATTCAATGTAAAACAACCATAATAATGAAACATAAATTATTAATTATATTGTTGTTTTTTTTTCTTCGGAACTCCTTCCGTACAACTCTAACTAACTACGAAAAATAGAATGTTTACTGAATCAATATCCATTGGCTTTTACCTGTGTGTGTGTCTGTGTCTGTGTGTCTATGTGTTTCTTTTTCTTTCCTCTATATCTCATTTCATTATCTTCACTATACATTGGGAATGATTAGGGCAACAACAGAAAAAAAACACAAAAATTCTTAAGCTTATCTTTTTGAAATAGACAAGAATTGTTACATTTTCTTGTACACCATTATACACACCATGATAATCTTGTTAAATAAGTAAGTAAGCAGGAGAGAGTGAGAGAGAGAGATAGGAAGTAGAAACACGACTTGTCATTGACTTACGATGACAGAATGTATAATCAGTGACAGTGATTCAATAAAATATGTCGATGACATAGGTCTCACTTGATGAAGAAGACATTGAGAAAATGCAATGTCTTCTGACTGACTATCCTAAGTGTGACAATTCCAACATGTTTGGGATGTGATTCTCCCTCAAGAAAAGCAGAATATGTTGCTTCAGGATTATTGAGTTGCATTGGCATTTGACTCAGTGATATGGGGAGTGAAGTAATTGAGTTCAATTATCTGGCAAGTGTCTCATCAGTGCCTGATGGCCTGGTGACTGACGAAATCTCCGCATGGATACGGAAGGCTTGATTGGCTTTTGCCATCTTGCGTCAATTATGGCGTGGGCTAATCAAAAGACACGTCTGCTGTGTAACAGTTCGCTCCGTCCTAATTTATGGCTGTGAAACATGGCCAGTCAGAGTAGAAGATATTCTGCGGTTAGTGGTTTTCGATCATCAGTGTCTCCGAAGGATTGCTAGTGTATCCTGGGACAACGGAGTAAGCTATGCTATTGTTAGGAAATGTGTATTAGGTAATGATGGGAGATCAATAGATGAAGTATTGAAACCTCATCAGTTGAGTTGGTTGGAATATGTGTTACGTATGTTTAACCACCGACTACCTTGTAGAGCTATGATTTACGATGTAAGAATAGGTTGGAAGAAAGCTTACTTACTTACTTACTTTCGCCTGTTACCCCCAATGGAGCATAGGCTGCCCACCAGTTTTCTCCAACCAACTCTGTCCTGGGCTTCCCTCTCCAGTTCTGTCCAATGTTTGTTCATTCCTCTCATATCTTTCTCTATTTCTCGGCGTAGTGTGTTCCTTGGCCTTCCTCTTTTCCTTTTGCCTTGAGGGTTCCATGTGAGGGCTTGTCTAGTGACGCAGTTGGGTGCTTTTCGTAGTGTATGTCCTATCCATTTCCACCGCTTCTTCCTGATTTCCTCCTCCATTGGAATCTGACTTGTTCTCTCCCACAGTTCGTTGTTGCTGATGGTGTCTGGCCAACGAATACGAAGTATTTTGCGTAGACAACTGTTAATAAACACTTGTATCTTCTGGATGATGGCTTTGGTAGTTCTCCATGTTTCCGCTCCATACAGTAGAACTGTCTTGACATTTGTATTGAAAATCCTGATTTTGGTTTTGTTTGAAAGTTGTTTGGAGTTCCAGATATTTTTCAACTGTAGAAATGCAGCCCTTGCTTTGCCAATCCGCGCCCTCACATCTGCGTCCGATCCACCTTTCTCGTCGATGATACTGCCAAGATATGTGAAGGTGTTAACGTCCTCCAAGGTATCTCCATCAAGCGTGATTCGGTTGGTGCATGTTGTGTTGCATCGGAACGTTCGTACATTGTGGGAGACTGGAAGACTATTTCAAGTTGCGGCAGAAATGAAAAGATACAACCTCGAGGTGACCGGCATCAGTGAAACGCATTGGACACAGATAGGATAACTGAGACTAGCTTCAGGGGAACTGCTGTTATACTCTGGTCATGAAGAGGAAAACGCTTCACATACACAAGGAGTTGCACTGATGCTGTCCAAACATGCACAAAAGGCACTGATAGGATGGGAATCTCATGGAAGAAAGCTAGGGGCGATAAAACTAAAAGATGACACAAATCCATGAAGTCACTGACAAGTGGACTAAGTCATGTTGGTAGGCGTCAACTGCCTGGTTGGGGTCCACAAGATGATAATAATTGATGGTTAAAGACCCTGAGTGGCATAGCTCAAAACTGTTTGCAATGGCGCAGGTGTATTTCTATCTCTGTGTACCTCATCACCTTAATCTTTTTACGTTCATTTCACTAGATTCTACTTCTCGAAAAATGTCCTTAAGCCTAATCTTCTCCACTACCATTATCTGACTGACTCAATAAAATTTCATTTCACTTGCATTTATTGGTTCCGTTAATAAACTGCATTACTCATTTTACTGATTTTCTCTCTCTCTATGTGTACTGAGATAATAATCTGTGTGATCGTTTTAACCAAGCTTTATTCACATCAGTTACTATTTCGATGATAATGATGATGATCATCATTAAACCAACTGACTAAATGAAATTCACCGGCGTGATAGGATGAAATGCGTTTTAAAATAAATCATATATAATTCTAAAGTGTGTTCTTTTTTTCTTAAAATGTGGAACTCTTGCTTATTATTGATTATTGTTAGACCACTATTAAAAAGCTGGAAGCACCGAAAGACAGACGTTTCATACAAGTATCGCACACTCATCAACAGTGCTAATTTACGACTCTCGCTTGAGGGGATCGAACCCAGAATTACTTTCAACCTCGCATGCGAGCGCTTACCCTCCAGATCACTGAACGTCAATCAACAGTGTGAATGTTGTAACTTTAATCGGCCGAAGTTATTGCACAACAGTTTTCACAAATCTGTAGTGAAAATCATAAAAATATGCTCAGTAGTAACTAGCTTCATGAGGAAATTCTCGAAACCCCCGTGTAAGAAACCGTGATCAATAAAGTTCGATTCTGTTAGGTGTAGGCCATGGGTGAGGTGAGGTAGCGCAGTACCGTAGATTGATCAAAGCTATGAATTTAACACTGCTGGCTTTGATGGTGGTTTGGAGGTTAAGAGTTCACGTACGGCAGCGATCTTGGATGCTTGTGGTGATGGTGTTTGGTTCCCTGAGCTGGATGTTTTGGTTGTGGAGCTTTCATCATTGTTCTCCTACTGAACACCATCATCAGCACAAACTTCAGGTAGAAGAAATGAAGCATTCGAATTTCTCCACGTTTGACCTGTAGGTTGTTCTGCTAACCTCGATCTTGATTGGTTGCCATTGACCTTAGCAGAACAAGCTACAGGTCAAACGTGGAGAAATTCGAATGCCTCACTTCTTCTACCGTGAAGTTTGTGCTGATAATGTTGTTCAGTAGGAGAAGAACAATGATGAAAGCTCCACAACCAAAACATCCAGCTCAGAGAACCAAACACCACCACCACCACAATCATCCACCTGACCTACAAATCTTTTCCACCATCTCAAAGATCTTGGATGTGTACTGCCACTGTTGATAAGTAGTCCCCCATACTACAATCAAACATCCATCCATTACTTCTAGATTTCTAATAACAATGATAGTCTAACAATGATTGATTCATGATTTCAACAATCTTCATACAATGTTGTTATATAACTCCTTCATTATTTGCTTCAGTGAAATCAATAAATAAGTTTATTTTTTTCTATAGAAAAAAGAAATAGTCTATTAACAACAATATTAAATAAAATACTTTATTATTATTATTATTATTATTATTATTATTACTATTATCTTCTTTCTTTTACATAATGTAACCCCTTTTATCTATCAATAGAGCTGTAAATCGATTAAACAAGGCATTACTAGTTTGTTTGTGTTTGTGTTTCTGTCTCTTTCTAAAACAAATAATTAGTTGTGTTTTTTTTCGCAATTTATCCGTACATTATATTTACACTAGTGTGTTTTTCAATGTGTTCAATCCATTATAATGAGAATCAATTACCTGATTCATTTATTCATATTTCAATTAGTCAATGTTCTTTTTATCATGATGACCCGACCGTGTCAAGCTACCTTGTACACGTGGTGGTCGGGCTTGCCTATGATGTGATGACCCAACCGAGCTATATTGACCGGGGACATATGTGTTCCTGTAGGTTCTACCATGTCAGGCGGGCAGGTGGATTGGAAAACGATGAGACTAAAAGCAGGTACCCAGGGTCTGAGGGCGAAGTCGTACTGCTGACTGAAGAAGGGTGTAACAGCAGCAGTACGGTGTTTCCCTCGGACAACCAGCATCTGCAGTGATGCTGCCTTCTCACAAGGAAGAAAGGGTTAGAAAAGGTCGACCCTAAAAATGTCACACCTCACCTTACTTCACGGATTCCGGTCTCCGTCGGTAAGGGTGCCTACTAAGTACTTTTAAGAGCGGAGCTAATACTCAAAAAACTTCTCATAAAAATGCCGTGCGTGACCGGCCTCAAGCAGTTGTCCCCTGGGCTCTACGGTCACGCTCCCAGGTCGTTAAGACCAATGCTAATCTACCTTCCTTTTCAGGTCCCCCAAGAAACAATCTTCCACAGTGTGGGCAGCCGGGAAGTGACAACTGCCCTCATACCCGTAACAGCACACGAGACGAAATTGGTTAAAATCAAATCAAATCATGTCAGTGCATCATTTGTCTTCGTTCCGTTTACCCAGTAATGTGAACTTGTAATAGCATTCTAGCATATCGATTGACAAGCTTAATACATTTCTTATTGTTCTATTGGTTTTTTTAATTAAATAAAACCATTAATCTTATTTGATTACTTTTTCTCTGCAGGTTCTTGATAGTAAAAAAGGTCCTGGACCAAAACATATGAAAGAAATCACTAAACGAGCACGTCGTCGTGAAGCGAAACAACAAGCTGCTGCTGCTGCTGCGGCGGCGGCTGCCGCCTCTACCTCTGCCACTGTCACTGCTTCATCTACACTCAGTTCGTCTGTTGGTAAAGAACAAAAATCGTTAAAATCCACTGCAATGCCTAATACTACTACTCCAACTACTACTAATACACGTTCATCGTGTGGAAATGGTCATCATCATCATCATCACCATCCTTGTTCAAATAATAATAATTCCAATTCACGTGGTACTACTACTGTTCATTACACGCAAACACATACAAAATCTGAGCATTATTTGCATACATCATCAGTGTCTAATAGTAGTAGTAGTAGTAGTGGTATTCGTGTTCAATCAAACATGTTATCACAACAATCTTCTTATGTAGGCGGTACAACACGATCAGGTGGACAACATTCACAAACTATGTCAAGCAATAAATATCGATGTTCTACACAAAATAGTAATAATAATCATAATCATAATAATAATAGCAACACTGTAGAACATGTATGTTGTTCTCGGACAATTTTGAATCAAACAGACGACTATCTATCAAAGATAACTTATTCTCAAGGTGCAACACGTACTCGTGCTGCTGCTGCCCGACAATTAGAAGCTGCTAGTAAGTTTCATTTGATGCCCAATATTCTATGATTGATGAAAATCTTTTATGAAAAATGAGAGATTGATTCTTCTAGGTGGCTGAGATGTATTGACTTGCTTTTAATCGTTAATTTTTATCAACGTTTTACTTTTTGAGATAATATTTGTTCTATATATGGTGTTTTTTTCTTATTGGTACGTGAATTTCATCTCAATAAATCAATCCTTCTTGAATGATAAGAATTTTAGCTGACGTATACATCTTTACCATTTTTTACACTGTTAGTAGTAGTAGTTGTTGTTGACGCCTTGATGAGGAGTGTTGGGGATGTTAGATCCCCAAAACTCGCTTGATAAATGCCTTACTATTTGGATTTCACGTTTGCCAGAATGGGTTGGTCAGTTGACCTTGAGATTTCATTTCCCACTCGGGAAAATCCATGGCTGTGATTGGCTGCTGTGTCATTTTAGAATGCTATTTTTGTGACCGTCCCAAAGACGTTTCTATGATATAGAAATAAACGAGAGTTGTGTGCTTGATTGTATTGTGTGATTGCTGGGTGTTTGTAGAATATACCTTTCTACGCTTATCAAGACATCTGTTTACGGCTTGGGATTCAAGGTAGCCTACCTGGACGCTGGTAATTGTCTCGTCCGCGTTTATCGACTAAGTTGAACTCGTAATATCTTCAAGTGTACCTAGTGACGAACATAACAAGGAGTCTCATCAGTCTGACATGGCCTAGTGTGTGTGACGAAATCGCTGCACGGTTAGAAGGCTTGATTGGCTTTTGCCAATTTATGTCACTTATGGTGCAGGATGAGTCTACTGTTCATCAGTTCACTCCATCCTACTGTACAAGTGTGAAACATGGCCATTAAGAGTAGAGGATATTCTTAGGCTACTAGTATTCAATCATCGGTGTGTGTTCGATGCATTGCTCGTATATCCTGGGAATAATCGAGTAAGCAACGTTGGTGTTAGAACGGTTGCAGGTAGAGATGGCAGATCAACAGATAAAGTCGTGAATCTTCATCAGTTGAGGTGGTTAGTATATGTGTTACGAATGCCTAACCACCGACTGCCTCTACGAGCTTAGTTTTATGGTGTAGAAGTAGGTTTGAAGAAAGCTAGGGGGGCCAAACCACACAACGCGGCACAAATTCGCGAAGTCATTGACTAGTAGTGGACCGAGCTGGGTTGCTAGGTGTAGACTACTTGTTTGGGGTCTGCGAGACAATAGTAACCCGGTAGTTAGAGCATTTACTTACTTACTTACTTACTTACTTACTTACTTACTTACTTACTTACTTACTTACTTACTTACTTACTTACTTACTTACTTACTTACTTACTTACTTACTTACTTACTTACTTACTTACTTACTTACTTACTTACTTACTTACTTACTTACTTACTTACTTACTTACTTACTTACTTACTTACTTACTTACTTACTTACTTACTTACTTACTTACTTACTTACTTACTTACTTACTTACTTACTTACTTACTTACTTACTTACTTACTTACTTACTTACTTACTTACTTACTTACTTACTTACTTACTTACTTACTTACTTACTTACTTACTTACTTACTTACTTACTTACTTACTTACTTACTTACTTACTTACTTACTTACTTACTTACTTACTTACTTACTTACTTACTTACTTACTTACTTACTTACTTACTTACTTACTTACTTACTTACTTACTTACTTACTTACTTACTTACTTACTTACTTACTTACTTACTTACTTACTTACTTACTTACTTACTTACTTACTTACTTACTTACTTACTTACTTACTTACTTACTTACTTACTTACTTACTTACTTACTTACTTACTTACTTACTTACTTACTTACTTACTTACTTACTTACTTACTTACTTACTTACTTACTTACTTACTTACTTACTTACTTACTTACTTACTTACTTACTTACTTACTTACTTACTTACTTACTTACTTACTTACTTACTTACTTACTTACTTACTTACTTACTTACTTACTTACTTACTTACTTACTTACTTACTTACTTACTTACTTACTTACTTACTTACTTACTTACTTACTTACTTACTTACTTACTTACTTACTTACTTACTTACTTACTTACTTACTTACTTACTTACTTACTTACTTACTTACTTACTTACTTACTTACTTACTTACTTACTTACTTACTTACTTACTTACTTACTTACTTACTTACTTACTTACTTACTTACTTACTTACTTACTTACTTACTTACTTACTTACTTACTTACTTACTTACTTACTTACTTACTTACTTACTTACTTACTTACTTACTTACTTACTTACTTACTTACTTACTTACTTACTTACTTACTTACTTACTTACTTACTTACTTACTTACTTACTTACTTACTTACTTACTTACTTACTTACTTACTTACTTACTTACTTACTTACTTACTTACTTACTTACTTACTTACTTACTTACTTACTTACTTACTTACTTACTTACTTACTTACTTACTTACTTACTTACTTACTTACTTACTTACTTACTTACTTACTTACTTACTTACTTACTTACTTACTTACTTACTTACTTACTTACTTACTTACTTACTTACTTACTTACTTACTTACTTACTTACTTACTTACTTACTTACTTACTTACTTACTTACTTACTTACTTACTTACTTACTTACTTACTTACTTACTTACTTACTTACTTACTTACTTACTTACTTACTTACTTACTTACTTACTTACTTACTTACTTACTTACTTACTTACTTACTTACTTACTTACTTACTTACTTACTTACTTACTTACTTACTTACTTACTTACTTACTTACTTACTTACTTACTTACTTACTTACTTACTTACTTACTTACTTACTTACTTACTTACTTACTTACTTACTTACTTACTTACTTACTTACTTACTTACTTACTTACTTACTTACTTACTTACTTACTTACTTACTTACTTACTTACTTACTTACTTACTTACTTACTTACTTACTTACTTACTTACTTACTTACTTACTTACTTACTTACTTACTTACTTACTTACTTACTTACTTACTTACTTACTTACTTACTTACTTACTTACTTACTTACTTACTTACTTACTTACTTACTTACTTACTTACTTACTTACTTACTTACTTACTTACTTACTTACTTACTTACTTACTTACTTACTTACTTACTTACTTACTTACTTACTTACTTACTTACTTACTTACTTACTTACTTACTTACTTACTTACTTACTTACTTACTTACTTACTTACTTACTTACTTACTTACTTACTTACTTACTTACTTACTTACTTACTTACTTACTTACTTACTTACTTACTTACTTACTTACTTACTTACTTACTTACTTACTTACTTACTTACTTACTTACTTACTTACTTACTTACTTACTTACTTACTTACTTACTTACTTACTTACTTACTTACTTACTTACTTACTTACTTACTTACTTACTTACTTACTTACTTACTTACTTACTTACTTACTTACTTACTTACTTACTTACTTACTTACTTACTTACTTACTTACTTACTTACTTACTTACTTACTTACTTACTTACTTACTTACTTACTTACTTACTTACTTACTTACTTACTTACTTACTTACTTACTTACTTACTTACTTACTTACTTACTTACTTACTTACTTACTTACTTACTTACTTACTTACTTACTTACTTACTTACTTACTTACTTACTTACTTACTTACTTACTTACTTACTTACTTACTTACTTACTTACTTACTTACTTACTTACTTACTTACTTACTTACTTACTTACTTACTTACTTACTTACTTACTTACTTACTTACTTACTTACTTACTTACTTACTTACTTACTTACTTACTTACTTACTTACTTACTTACTTACTTACTTACTTACTTACTTACTTACTTACTTACTTACTTACTTACTTACTTACTTACTTACTTACTTACTTACTTACTTACTTACTTACTTACTTACTTACCCTCAGTGGATCATTGTCCGCTCGCCAGTTTTCTCCAGCCAACTCTGTCTTGGGCTTCCTTTTCTGGTTCTTTCCAGTTTTTGTTCATTCTTTTCGTATCTTTCTCTATTTCTCGGCGTAATGTGTTGTTCCTTGACTTTCCTCTTTTACTTTGACCTTGTCATCACATAAAACCTATATTCAAACTTCTTACGGAATGTTTGTCATCACTTGATTTCAAGACATGAATATGATCTTCAGTCATTTAGACTGTTTTGCTTGTTTCAATTTGATCGATTAAATTGAATATATACAGAGTAGACAGAATACCACATAGGTTACTACTCAATTCAAACTCAATACTGTAAGCGATAATCTCTTTAACCTCATAAAATTGCAACTGTCTTTCAAGAATGCGACTTTCAGCTTCCATTCAAACAATGTTGTTCATATTACGTTATCACAGTTCAGTACATGTTCACAGTTCAATCTAAATTTTAAGTTTGTATGATTTGTAAATAGTTATTTAGTTTGATAACAATCTTCACAATCCCTATAATGCAAATTATCATGTTTTGGTCACTAGTACTAGTTCTGTTAGCAAGTTTCTCTGAGTTGTTGTGAGAAGCCATAACCACTTGAGTTCAACTCTGTGAAAGTGTGAAACAATGCTCACTGAAGACAATGGATGAGGTTACACATCGACGACTCCTACACCTCATAGGATTCGAACCCAGGACCTTCGGCCTTATGCACTGCTGGTGAGTCCCATACCAGGAGTATACGGACATCCAGTGCATCTCCGGTTTCTACTGGTAGTCTAGCATTCATCGATTCATGATTTAAACATTATGAATCTTCAATTTTATAAGTAAATTAATTTTTGAAATCATGAATCGATCAATGTTAGACAACCATTAGAAACCTGGAAGCACTATTTTGAGGGCCGTTTCGTCCTAGTATGGGACTCATCAGCAGTGGCAGTGCACATCCACGACTCCTGCGCCTCTCAGGATTCGAAGCCCGGACCTTCGATATTGTGCGCAAACGCCTAACATCTGGACCACTGAGCCGCTATCTAACATTGATCGATTCATTATTTCAAAAATGTGTAACATAACAATCTTCACAACCCCGTAATGCAAATTACCTGTGCTCACTAGTGAATAGCTCCGTGAGGAACCCTTCTCCGAGTTCTAGTGGGTATTCCTGACCAGTGAAGTTCCACCTGTTTGTGTGTAGACAGCAACTCCGTGACTTGATCGAAGTTAGACATTAACACTGTTAGATACCGGCTCAGTTATCCATTAGTTATTAGGCATTCACACGCAAGACCGAATGTCCTTGGTTCGAATCTTGCGAGTTGCAGGAGTCATGGATGCACACTGCCACTGCTGATGAGTAGTCCCATACCAGGACGAAACAGCCCTTAAAACAGTGCTTCCAGGTTTCTGGTGGTCTAACATTGATCGATTCATGGTTTCAAAACTGCATATGAGGTTAGAAAGGAATCTTTAAAATTATATATATATATATATATATATATATATATATATATATATATATTTCTCTCTAAAATTACTTGTATTTATTAAGAAGTTTGGTTTAATTATTATTTTCAAGTATATTTATTCTAACTAGTCGTAGTTCTATAAGGTGTGTTTATTTTTATTTTCTTTATATTTCTGTTTTTTTTTATCTAAACTATAAACTTGTTGCTATAGCTATTTTGTAAACTAGAACTAATTGTTTGTGTGTGTATATGCGAGAGTGTGTGTGAATGTGTGGGTACTCATTACTCTGCGCTTTCCTTTTACCTTTCCCTAACATGTTAATCAGTGCTAATATATATATATCGTGTTTCGTGTTCATATTTGTTAGACAATTGATCTGTTTCATGGTACAGTGTTATTGATATCAATAAAAATCAATATTTTGAATAATAATCATAGTAATGATAATATTAATAATGAGAGTGGACTGGTAACCATTAGTTTTGTGTGTCTGTGTGTGTGTGTGCGTTTCACCCTTGTCCATTGTTCGATGCCTAATAATTAGTATTGAGATAAAATCCAAGTTAAAATGGATCTTTCTCTTTTATTTTTTCTCTCATCTTTTTTTCTCATTGTGTATTAGTTGTTGTTGTTTAGAGGTCATCATCATCGATGCGCATTGATCGGTGTTGAGATTTTACAACAGTATTGTGTCAGTGAAATAGTAGCATAGGATGTGTTTAGTTAGTGTAATTGATATAAAGTGAGCAGCGTTCTTGTTAAGATATTCATCCAATATCCTAAGAGAATTATTTCGTAAGTCTAATCCGATTGGTCAATTCCTATTGGTTGTCCTAACTGTCAATGTCACTTGAAAGGTTGTTTCCTATTGGTCATTTTAACTGTCAATGTCACATACTTCAAATGTTGTTTCCTATTCGACCCAAATATGCATTATCTGTAACGTTTTATGACCCGAATCCTTAGCCTCTTCTGAACTCGGACCTCGTACTTTCTGGATGCTTGTTGAATACACGTTCTACCTCATATCAAGTCTTCTTCTTCTTCTAATCAATCGAGGTTTGGGACGCTCGAATTACAGTAGCCTATCATGTCACTGGATCACTTTTCTTTAGCTCTCGCTTATCTGCTCGTGACCTTGTAATAAGAGGCGGCCAAACCAAAACATGGCACAAATCCATGAAGTCACTGACAACTGAACTGAGCCACGTTAGTAGGTGCTGATTATCTGGTTGGGGTCCGCAAGATGATAATAACCGATGGTTAAATACCTTGAACGACATGGCTCAAAATCGTTCGCAATGACGCAAGTGCATCCATCCGTTGTGCTCTCTCAAATCCTAATCTTCTGGATTCGTCAGCACATCTACCTTTGTCTTTCTAACCTTATCTCACTGAATTATATTTCTTGAATAATATCTTCAAACCCTAGACTTCTTCATTACCATTAATACCTCTACTATCTTTATCACTATGTGATTTGATTTGACATTTACGTTTCTGTGTTAATGTGGTGTGGCAACATGAACTGTTGTACATACGTACGAAGAAAGAGAACAAAATCTTAGTGATTTCAATACTGTTTCATACAATACCTAACCTTAAATTCTAACGCTAAATACTAAATTCTAACTAACTTACACCAATCTATATAAGCAACGCTTTTTTTGACCCTAGTAAGTCGGTGACTTTTCTCAAGGTCAGTTCAGTGTGTGGTGTGTGCTACTTATACGAACGATATAAGTAGTAGTATAAGAAGGAACGTGAAAGAAGAAGTCTCACAGTCAGAGGAGGAAAACGGAAAGCAAATGGAGCAAAAGCAAGAAGTAAATGGAGTACCAACAGGAAGGAAAGGAAGCAACAACAGGAATGGAGTGTTGGAAGTCACGACTTAAAGATGGTGTGCAAATAGAGTGGTGTTCAATGTAATGTTTTCGTTTTTAATTGACTAAGAGTGTATATTTGCTAAATACAATTTATCGCGCCTGCCTCAGTCTTCTCAAGTGTTGCTCAAAGGTTGTTTATAATAGTATTATGATCTCGCTAACAAATATATATATATATATATATATATATATATATATATATATATATATATATTTCTTCAATATCGTTTATTCTCTTGTCATTTCATAGGTGCTGCAGCTGCTGCCGCCGCCGCTTCTGCTTCTCGAAATATTGGCAATGTACTAGCCACATCATCGCCATTATGTGATAACCGTCTACAGCATCATCATCATCCTCATCAACACCAGCATAATAGTCTATTGCCACATTCAACCAACATGCCAATGTCTACATTGTTGTCCGATTCGAATGAGTTTGACGCTAAAACTAGCTGTCACAATTGCTGCTGCTATTCCTGCTGTTGCTGCTCTTGTTGTTGCTGTAGTAGTAATGTGAACGGTAGTTGTTACAGTTGTCATAGTAGTAGTGGAGGTAGTTCAAGTTGTTGTAGTAGTAGTAATAGTACAAGTGGCTTTGGATCAAATTCCTCAGATTTATCATTTTCTAGTAATCGCAATTATTCCAGAATGAAATGTTGTAAGTTATCGATCGATATCATCTATGTGTGTTGACACACGTATATATATATATATATATATATATATATATATACATGGATTTGTTTCATTGTTCAATGATCAATTTGACGTTACATTTTATCTCTGGCATATGAAATGAATAAAATCTAATTTCCACTCACATAATACATACAACTATAAACAACAAACTAAATAAACGTAGTGACTTGCTTATGCTTATAGCAGATCAATAGATGAAGTGCTGAGGTGGTTGGGACATGTGTTACGTATGCCTAACCACCGACTGCCTCGAAGAGCTTTGTTTTGTAGTGTAAGAATAGGTTGGAAGAAAGTTAGGGGCGGCCAAACCAAAACATGGCACAAATCCATGAAGTCATTGACGAGTGGACTTAGCCATGTCGGTAGTTGTCGACTACCTGGTTGGAGTCCGCGAGATGATAATAATCGATGGTTAGAGACCCTGAATGACGTGACTCAAAACCGTTTGCAATGGCGCAAGTGCATTTATTCTTTGTTCTCTCAAATCCTTTCTTCTGGATTCTTCAACACCTCTAGTTTTGACTTTCTAAACTTTTCTCATTGAATCATACTTCTTGAATAATATATTCTAATCCTAACCTCTCCGATTACTTCTAATACCCTTACTACCTCTTCTACTATTGGATTTGAATTGACAATTCCATCTCTGTGCTGATGTGGTATGGCGACATGAACTGATGTACTTACGTACAAAGTTCTACGTTGCATCTGACTGACTGACTGAACCCCGGTCAAGTGTAGGGTGTTTCTCACTGAAGAACAATATATGAGGTTGTACAGAATCATTAGATTGATCAAAGTTGAACATTAACACCGTTGGATGCCGGCTTAGTGGTCCAGATGTTAATTGTTCGCGCGTAAGACCGAAAGTGTTGGGTTCGAATCCTGTGATTAACAGGTGTTGTGGATGCGCATTGGCACTGATAAGTTATATAGCAGGATGAAATGGCTGTCCAGTGCCTCCAGGTTTTTTTTTAATTGTGATCTAACGATGATTAAATCACGATTTCAATCTATTTTACATATGTCCAATGCGTTTTACTGATTCCAAGCACCTCCATGTTGTATCTTTTCGTGTCGGCAGCAATTTGGAAATAGTTTTCTAGTCTCCTACAATGTTCAAACATCCCATGTACCTAAACGGATGGTAGCTGTGGTTGTTAGATGAGGCATCAGCCTCGTGACTTTCGAAGGAACTTAACTTTCATCATGAGACGTCATAACTCTTCCAAATGAGGACATTCTACCCCCCCCCACCCAGAGCAGAGTTGGCGTTTTTTTGTGGGTTAGTTTTCTGCGGTATGCAGTCGCCAACCCTATGTCCAGCTCTCCTCTCTTATACGGGTTTCAAACCGGTAGTAGCCCCAGAGGGGCTCCAGGTGGCTCCAACCTGAAAACATCAAAATAAACTAGTCAAAGTTAATTGTATTCAGTATAAAGTTATAGAGATTGTTGTTTTTGATTCAAACCATGTATCGATCATCGTTAAATCACTACGCGCACTACCACTGAGGAGTCCCATACTAGGATATGAAATACCCGTCCAGTACTTCCAGCTTTTTAATGATGTTCTAACCCTAACCAATCAGAGTTAGTAAGTAGCAAATAGTGATGTTTGGACGTTTATTGAATGATGTCTATGCAGAGAACACTGGTGTTCCCTGTTATCTCTCCGTCATTTGGATTGTGTATTCTCATACTGTCGACTGGATGTAACACATGACTCCAAATACCCTGGTACGGTCGAGAATGGGGACAATGCACTCTTCCTCTCCAAATACTCTCATATGGCCATACATATTTAATCACTGTTAAGGAAGTCTTAATCACACTTTTCTCGTGGAGGTGGTGGTGGTTTTGTACACCGAGCTGAGACGACAAAAAGCCATCGTTCAGCGCGTAAACCGGTCTAGTGAATATGAATGATCCACGTAGAAGAGTTAGAAAATATACATTTTTGCATTCATTGGTGTAGATGAGTTTCCACGATGATGAGTGAATAATTGATGTATAGACGTATTGTTGGTCATCTGCTATCATAAAACTAAATTTCCCAACTTTACTCTATTGTTTTATGGATTCAATCTGACAATCTAAAGCTTCGGTTTCGCTCTCCTGGCAGTATCCCCAATCCACCCACAAGTTTATTGACTTGTGTAGTGCATATATTTTTAGGTAGGAAGGATTCGATTGTGATCGATTCGGTTGCGTGTGCTGTAACGGATATGAGAGCGGATATCACTTCCCGGCTGCCCACACTGTGGAAGGCTGTGTTTCTTGAGGAACTTGAAAAGCAAATCGGATTAGTGTTGCTCTTATAGACATGAACGCGTAACCGCATTACCCAAAGGACAACTACTTGAGGCCTGTCACGCACGGCCTTTTTATGCGTAGTATTTAAAGTGTGTTAGCTCCGCTCTTCATTTAAAGGCCTTATCGCCAGAGACAGAAATCCGTGAGCTAAAGTGAGGTGTGACACTTTTAGGGTCGATCTAATCGAACCGCTTCCTTCCTTGTGAGAAGGCTACATCGCTTCATTTGCAACGTAGAACTTCGTACGTAAGTACATCAGTTCATGTCGCCATACCACATCAGCACAGAGATGGAATTGTCAATTCAAATCCAATAGTAGTAGAGGTAGTAAGGGTATTAGAAGTAATCGGAAAGGTTAGGATTAGAAGACATTATTCAAGAAGTATGATTCAGTGAGATAAGTTTAGAGAGTCGAAACTAGAGGGGTTAAGAATCTAGAAGGTTAGGATTTGAGAGAACACAAAGAATAAATGCACTGGCGCCATTGCGAACGATTCTGAGCCATGTCATTCAAGGTCTCTAACCATCGATTATTATCATCTCACAGACCCCAACCAGGTAGTCGACATTTACCGACATGGCTAAGTCCACTCGTCAATGACTTCATGGATTTGTGCCATGTTTTGGTTTGTCCGCCCCTAACTTTCTTCCTACACTACAAAACAAAGCTCTTCGAGGCAGTCGGTGGTTAGGCATACGCAACACATGTCCCAACCACCTCAACTGATGAAGTTTCATTACTTCATCTATTGATCTGACATTCTTACCTAGCACCCATTTCCTTATAACAGCGTTGCTCACTCGGCTGTCCCACGATACACGAGCAATTCTTCGAAGACACCTATTATCGAAAACCAATAACCGACGAATATCTTCTACTCTCACTGGCCATGTTTCACAGCTATAAAGTAAGACGGAGCGAACTACTGCGCAGTACACTCGTCCTTTAGTCAGCAAACGGATATCTCGTCTACGCCATAAGTGACGCAGGTTGGCAAAAGCCAATCGAGCCTTCTGTATCCGTGCTGAGATTTCGTCAGTCACCAGGCCATCGGCACTGATGAGACTCCCAAGATAAGTGAAGCGGTCTATACGTTCGACTACTTCATTCCGTATCACTAGTTCAGGTGCCCTACATCGCTTCAGATGCTGCTGGTTGTCCGAGGGATACACTTGACTGCTACAGTCACACCCCTCTACAGTCAGCAGTGCTCTAACCTACTAATGTTCATAAATTTGAATCAATAAATCAATAAGTACATAGATGATATAAACTACAGTAGATTTTAAATAAACAATATTTTAAATAAAATAGTTTTTAGTCACAAGCTCATATTAATTACTAATTATAATTCATTATTATTCAAACTCCGTTGAACTAACTGTCTTTCAAAATTAAAACTACAAAAGTTTTTTAGTCTGGTTTCTTTTTTATTTTCTAAACACCCTACTGTTAGAAGAGGACATTGATATTAGTGCTCTCATATCTAAACTATACATCTCTGTGACAGTGTAGTGAAGGGGAACACAGGTGAGGGCAATCGAGCTGTATTTAACGAAAATTACAGAGTTACTCAGTAAAATAGGAAAACCATATCGTAAATCGTTAATTTGCAAATCTTCAATCAATCATCAATCCCTTGTCTGACATTTCACTATTCATGCGTTTTATACAAATTCCATTGTGTTCCCACTCTTCCTTTCTCTTGATCTTCCTCCATCTTCTGCTGCCAGACATTACGTTTACACTCGCGTCGTATACTACCTATAAGTAGCGCGCACCACAACAGTATTTCTTCTTCTAGCTTATTCTTTTCAACATGTGTTTGTTTATCCAGGCTGTTCTTCCAGTATGACACTGTTCATTGTACTGTTATCGATGACTCTACTTTTTATTCGTTGCATATTCTTGATTCTTGTATTTCACGATTTATTTATGATTTCTTTCGCCCTGATTGTTCGAGTGTCGGTTTTGTATACTTTCTAGAGGTTTCTATATCTTCCTGGCCGTTCGTCCGACAGTTCATTAGTACTCTGGTTTTCGTACATATTTCATTTCCGTATGTCGTCTTACTTTCTTTTTTTCTGATCATAGTTTATGAGTGGAAGACTCTTGGGGATTATGAAGAGGACTAATCATAAAACGCATTCAAGTTACCAATATGAATATAATTTAAACTTTTTCGTTGAAATAATGAATTGAGCACTGTTAGATCACCATATTAGAAACCTGAAAATGCTGGAATATCGTTTCTTCCTGATATGGAACTCATCAACAATGCACATCCACGATCCCCACTCACGGAAATCGAACCCAGGACCTTTGGTCTTACACACGAACGCTTAACCTCTAGACTGATAGGGTTGAACCTCTACTGGTTACGGCCTCACCCTTGAACTCTGAGACTTTCCTCATGAAGCTAGACACTAGTGAGCTCACTTGATATTCATTATAGAGCTAAGAAGATTATTATTTCTCATTCAAATCACAATGTAACGTCTTCGATGTGCACTCTTGATAAGTCCTATACTAGAAAAAAAACCGGCCGTCCAGTAGACCCAGGTTTCTAATATTGTCGATCTAACAATGATTGATTCATGATTTCAACTCAAAACCAACAATCGCTCTGATTAATGTTAACTTTATCAATCTATGCAACTGTGATGTGATCTACTTATAAGTAGTATATGACGTGAGTGTCAACGTAATGTCTGACAGCAGAAGATGGGGGAAGATCAACAAGGAAGGAAGAGTTAGAACACAATGGAATTTGTATGAAACGCATGAATAGTGATAATGGATTGATGTTTTGCAACACGAACAGTCCAGTTCGATAGGATGAACTGATATTTTGCAAATGAACGATTTACGATATGGTTTTCCAATTTTACTGAGTAACTCTGTAATTTTCGTTAAATAAAATTTGGTTGCCCCACCTGTACACAAACATTAATCTCATTCAATGATGTTCTTGTTGTTATTGTTGTTATTCAATCTAAGTATACTATTTCATTTGGAACTTCTATCAAATTACAGCTGTAGTTATGCGATTTTTTTCCCACTACAGACAATACCTATTTTGTATTATTGCATTACGAGGTTGTGAAGATTGTTAAGACACTTTTTTTTTCAAATCATAAATCGATCAATGTTAGACCACCATTAGAAACCTGGAAGCACTGGACGGCCGTTTCGTCCTGGTATGGGACTCCTCAGCAGTGCGCATCCACGACTCCTGCAGCTCGCACGATTCGAACCTAGGACATTCGGTATTGTGCGCGAACGCCCTAACCGATAGACCACTGAGCCGGTATCTAAAAGTGTCTAAAAATGTCTAACTTTGATCCATTCACGATCTTGCACAACCTCATTTTATACTGCACAAATGTTTGTCTCTTTTTTTTTGTTAAGAAAACAATTAATTTCATTTGCAATTTTCTTTTAACTTTTTGAAACACACAAATCTACGCATATGTATTTAGCCAATACATACCATAATAATAATAAAAAACATTCTAATTGTTCCAATCAACAATCCTGTCATCATCCTCATCAACATCAACATCCTCATCATCATCAGCATCATCATCATGATCATCATTCTGAATGTACTACTAATGAATTCCGATGTCCTCAATCTCCATTAACAACAACAACAACTGGTCAAGTCACAGCGAACACTAATGGCGGTACAAATGACATTAATCCATGTGAACGAAATTCCTCTTTATCAATAAATGGCAATGTGGGGAATCGTCAAAATCTTAATCATATTCAACACAACATATCTTGTAGTGGTAATAGTAGTGGTAATAGTAGTGCATTGGGACGGAATAATTCCATTGTAAAAAATGAATCCACTACATCACATTCAAATACCAATTCGACTGTGACATCAGTTACAATGACGATGACCACAATTGCAACAACCACCAGCGCAACAACAACAACAACAACTATTCCTACACGACGTTATAATCGTAGAGTTGTCCTGCCTCCTGTACGAATGACTCATAATCCTGAAGTCGATTCACTACTACGTGAAATAATGGAACGGTAATTTTATACAATAATATTAATAATAATAATATTTTAAGAAATTAGTTTAATGTCGCTAATTTTAAGCGTGAATTTTTTTTCGTGAATCTTTATGGTTGTAAATATTGATTTTTTTTAGGGGGGGGGATATATTACGTCAGAATATTTAATTAATGGTGTGTTCAAGTGAAACTACTCAGAACGGGATAACTTACTTACTTACTTACGCCTGTTACGCCCAATGGAGCATAAGCAGCCTACCAGTTTTCTCCAACCAACTCTGTCCTGGGCTTCCCTTTCCAGTTCTGTCCAATTCTTGTTCATTCCTCTCATATCTTTCTCTATTTCTCGGCGTAATGTGTTAATTGGCCTTACTCTTTGCCTTTTGCCTTGAGGGTTCCATGTGAGGGCTTGTCTTGTGACGCAGTTCGGTGCTTTCTTCAATGTGTGTCCTATCCATTTCCATCGTTTCTTTCTGATTTCCTCCTCCACTGGAATCTGGTTTGTTCCTCTCCCACAGTACGTTGTTGCTGATCGTGTCTGGCTAACGAATCCGAAGTATTTTGCTTCGACAACTGTTAATAAACACTTGTATCTTCTGGATGATGGCTTTTGTGTTTCTCCAAGTTTCCGCTCCATACAGTAGAACTGTCTTGACATTTGTATTGAAAATCCTGATTTTGGTTTTGGTTGAAAGTTGTTTGGAGTTCCAGATATTTTTCAACTGTAGAAATGCAGCCCTTGCTTTGCCAATCCGTGCCCCCACATCTGCATCGGATCCACCTTGATTGTCGGTGATGCTGCCAGAACGGCATGCTAAAATGATATCGCTAGCGATCATTCTCGCAATGAAGCTGTTCATTCAAACAAAAATGGCGATAAAACTATCATATACTCACAAGTTTAAGTTATCATATCACATTAGCACAGAGAGATGCAATTGTCACTTCAAATCCCATAGTAGTGGTAGAGATAGTAGAAATAATAACGGTAATGGAGAAGATTAGGCTTTGAAGAAATTATTCAAGAAGTATAATTCAGTGAAATAACTTTAAAAAGAGAATGATAGAGATGATGAAGAATTCTGAAAGTTAGAATTTGAGAGAATGCACCTGTGCCATTGCAAACGGTTTTCAGTCATGTCATTCAAGATCTCTAACCACGGATTACTATCATCTCGCGGGCCTCTTCTAGCAATCAGAACCCTTCCATGGTGTGGACAGCCGGGAAATAACATCCGCCCTCATACACCACCTATAAAAGCACACGAAATCAAATTGGTCACAATCAAATCCTTTCTACACCTCTTAACAACTTTCTTATCTGTAATGTATTATACTTCAGAGGTGAATAAAGAAACCTTTTTATAAATAATAATGAATTTAGATTCAATTATAAAGAAAAATGAGGCGGAAAATTTAAATCTAGCAAAACAAAGCATAACCAACATTTCTATATCAAACTTAATCATCATTTCAAGTTCGTAAACAAAGAAAATTTCCAAATTTAACAAATTGGGAAAAAAAATCATTTCAAACAAAGCAGGCGGAAGTAAATTAAAATTCATAAACTTGACTAAACAAAACCAGAAAACGTTTATATTAAAATAGGGCAAAGTAAATTAGTACAATATGATAACAGAAAGATTGAATTTCAAAATAAACAACCAATCATATCCAAGGTAAAAAACGATTGGTTATTTTGGTGAAAGTATAAAATACTAATGACCTTGAATGACCTGTCAGTCAATCAAAAAATAGTAGTGTATCAACAGTTAAAAGCCATAATAACCAATATCACTTGAATAATAACTTTGATATGAATATTAGGTTTATCATCCTACAGGGTTTCACATCATCAGCTGTGATCAGCTATGTTACAATGAGTTTTCATTCTACTATCTATAAACTTAAGAAACTTAGAGTAAGAACTAGAATAATAAGGGGATACCACCTACCCTCATTATTAAACACTCTTGACACAGCATACTGAATCACAAGAAGTACTTTTACGTATCTTTCACCCCTAATTTATCCGATTACTTCTAATACTATTACTTCCTCTATTATTTTGGGATATGAATTGACAATTGCATTTGTGCGCTAATGTGGTATGGTAACTTGAACACTGATGAACGTATGAACATACGAAGTTCTACGTTGCTGTTGACTGATTGATTGATTGATTAATGGGCAGGGATCACGAACCTCATGCCAAACCCAATTCCTATATTTGGACTTTGGACCAGGCAGTAGCCTCAGAAGGGGTCTCAGCCGGAGTTCAAAAGTGTTTAGAGTACACAAATTTAAAAATTCAATAAAAATAAATCAGTAAGTAATTTAATGTACATGAATGATTTCAAAAATTCAATAATTACTGTATTATTTATTACAATAATAATTCTTAGTGTAGATAAATTAGAGTCATGGTTTCATGATTAGAAATGAGCTCAGTCATCGATGCACATACTCATAATCACATCAAATAATCCGACTCATGCCATAATCATCATGCCCTAGCGACTTGTGTGTATCGTTCAGACTAACTTGTATATGATATAACTGATGATGATGATTATGTCAGTCAGTCAGTCGGTCCGTCAACTGCAACCTAGAACTTGGTACATAATGTCCAGCAGTTCAAGCTACCATATCACATCAACACAGAGGGATGGAATTCGAATCCCACACACAAGTATCAAAAAGATTAGCGTTCAGAGATATAATTCGAGGAATGCAACCCAGTGAAATAAATTTAAAAGGTCTTGAGGAATTCAGAAGATTAGAATTTCAGAGAACACAAACATTGGTTGCATCTGAGCTAGTCCAAACAATATTGAGACATATGATTTGAAGTCTTCAACCACCGGTTACGATTGTCTTGCGGACTCCAACCCAGTACACTACACCTACTAACATGGCTCTCAGTCCAGTTGTCAAGGAACTTCATGGATTTGTACCATATTTCTACTTGCCCGCTACTAACTTTCTTCCAGCCTACTCCTACATCAGACAGCATCGCTCATTGAAGCAGTCGGTGGTTAAGCATACGCAATACATGTCACAACCACTTCAACTGATAAAAATTCACTACTTCATCAATTAACTTGCCACGCCCCCTATCCAGTACTTTTTCCTAACCGCAGAATTACTTACTCGATGGTTCTAAGATATACGAGCAATGCTTTGAAAAGTCTGTGATTGAATATTAGTACCTTACAATTGACAGATTAAATTAATTGAACTGCAAAGTGTTTCAAAAGTTTTAGTTAACTTCAGGTCACTTCAAGATCAGCTGATGTTGTTATGATGAACGTGTCAATACGTACTAGCCTCCCTCCCAAAGTGGCTGCATGAATGAGAAGTCAAGCGTAGAAGAAAAACTCCATTTGTCTAATGAATAATATACATAATGTTAGGTTTGTCACTAGGTACGCTTGAAACTATTACGTGTTCACCTTAGTCGATAAACGCGAACGAGACAATGAACCAGCTTCCAGGTAGGCTACCCTGATCTGAAACGGTTAAAGGGAAGTCTTGATAAGCGTAGAAAGTGTATTCTACAAACACCCAGCAACCATAATACAATCAAGCACACAAATCTCATTCATATAAACATCATAGAAACGTCCTTGGGACAGTCACAAAACTAGCACACTAAAATACACAGCCGCCAAACACAACCAAGGATTTTCCTGGTGGGAAATATGATCTCAAGGTCAGCACATGCTCACAAACGTGAAATCCAAAATTAAGGCATTTATCAATCGAGTTCTGGGTATCTAACATCCCCAACACATAACCACTCATATATTATACAAACACATCTCCTCCTTAAAAAAAGAATCTATTTCTTGACCAATCAATGATATACGGCTTTCCTTTCAGATATTTCTGGTTGTCATCATGTGACCTTCCTGTTCGGTCGCTTCTGATTGGCCACTTTTATCAGAAGATATATTCGATGAATCAATAAGTCCTTTAGCAAAAAAAAAATAAATAGTACATCTCAACGTATACCTTACTTCAGTAAATAAATCTATTACAGTTCAACTGTAACATATTTTTTTCTTCATCATTCAGTCACCTATTGATCGTGAATTTTGTTTATATTTGAAGTGACAGTTGCATCTCTGTGCTAATGTGTTGTATGTGACAACTTGAACTAATGTGTACGTACGTGCCAAGTTCTATGGTATAACTAACTGACAGATGAAGCGAAAATGATCATCGCTTCCTTATGATCGATCTGACATACGAATTTAAACATACTACTGATTTTGAAGCCTGATATAAAAATTAATGTAAGCTTAAACAATATATGAGAATGGCTTTGAAAGTTTCTCTAGTCAAATTGTGTATACCAAGTAAGTTTTTATCGATTTGAAAAAGGAGATACGATAAATTTTCAAATAAAGCGCACAAATTTCAACACAGTATCAAAAGTTAATAATTGGATAAGAAAATATACTGTTCATTGTCCAATTAAGAAAATGTCATCTATTTGAAAGATTCAAACAAATGTGATGTAACACTGAATAAATCTCTTTTTCTCAAAAAATTAAAATGAACTTAGAAGGATGATTGAATTTTAAATTGAACCTACAGGAAACTCGGTTGCTCGTGTATCGTGGGACAACTGAGTGAGCAACGCTACCATTAGGAAACGAGTTCTAGGTAAGGATGGCAGATCAATAGATGAAGTGGTGAAACTTCATCAGTTGAGATGGTTGGGACATGTGTTATGAATGCCAAACCATCGACTGCCTCGTCGAGCTATGTTTTGCGGTGTAGGAGTTGGTTGGAAGAATGATAGTGGCGGCCAAATTAAAACTTGACACAAATCAATGAAGTCACTGACAAGTGGACTGAGTCATGTTGGTGGGTGTAGGCTACCTGTTTGGGGTCCGCAAGACGATTAAGATTCGATAGAACACAAAGAGTGGATGCACCTGTGCAAATTGCAAATGATTTCGAGCCATGTCATTCAAGGTCTCTAACCATCGGTTACTATCGTCTCGCGGACCCCACCGGGTAGTTTACATTTACCAACATTGACTTAATCCAATTGTCAGTGACTTCATGGATTTGTGTCATGTTTTAGTCTGGCCGCCCCTATCATTCTTCAAACCTACTCCTACACCGCAAAACATAGCTCAAAGAGGAAGTCGGTGGTTAGGCATTCGTCCTAATTTTGGATTTTATGCTTTCTAGCATGGACTGATCGGTTGACCTTGAGATTATATTTTTCAATCGGAAAATCTCTGACTGTCATTGGTTGATGTATTATTTCAGTACGCTATTTTTGTGGCTCTCCTAAGGACGTTTCTATCATGTATAAATAAACTCAAGCTGTGTCCTTGTGAACCTTCATATTTTCTAGGTGCTTGAAGAATACACTTTGTACGCCATATCAAGACTACTTCCTCTACTTGGTGGAGACCTCAGGACGCTCGGATTAGAGTAGTAGCCTATCATGTCACTGGATCATCATTTGTCTTCGCTCTTGTTTACTACCGACTAAGCTGAACTCGTAATAGCATTATTCAAGCATATCAATTGACACATTGATAACACATTGTTTAAACGTGATTTACAATGTGGCTACCTTTCTCTTTCTAAATTTATCTTACTGAATTATACTTCTCGAATCATATCTTCGCTCCCCAATCTTCTCCATTACTGCTAATACTTCTATTATTGGTATCACTCTTGGATTTGCGTCTCTGTGTTGATGGGGCATGGCAACCTGAACTGATGTACTTACGTACGAAGTTCTGTGTTGTATCTGACTGTCTGATTACAATGTGGCAATGAAATTTAGATTATTATCTTTTGTGTTTTGTTTTTTTGTATTTTTAGAAATAGTCAAGCTGTAAATTTTGATTCACGTGAAATGCATATGGCTGTACAACAAGAATTACGACTACGTAATCGTACAATTCATACAACAACGAGGAATTCAACGTCTGGTGGATCTATTTGTTCATCATCAATTAGTTCAGCTGATGGTTCGATTGAAGCAAATGCTGGATCGAATAGTCAAACATCAACACCTACTAATGATAACAAATGTAACCATCATCATCCGCATCAACATCAGCATCATCACCATCATCATTGTCATGATTGTGATCATCATCAGCTATCTTCGAATCTAGATGAACAACATTCAGCGAAACGTCATTGTTCACATCATTGTTTTTGCAGTCATCATGATTAATCTACATAATATAATGCTGGGATACTACTACTCTCTCATACTCATGTGATCTTACACATGTACACCCCATTCATCATCATCCGCATCATCAACAGCAGCAGCAACATCGTACATCGTACAGCATTCATATCGTTGTTATTGAATGCAGTTATCTTGTTGTAATAACAACATGCGATATGCGCTTGGTGTATGTACAATAATGATTTGAATTATGCATTGAACAGTGGTAATTCAATTAAATTGGCGCTGGTCAACTACATGTGTATGTTTGTGCGTGTGTATTTGTGTGTGTATGCGTGTGTTTGTGTTGTGTACTTGTAGAAATTTCCTTTTTTTTTGTGTGTGTGTCATGTGACTGACTGTTGTTTTTCATTGTATTTGTTTTAAATCAGTGTATTTGACCCGCCTCAGATGACTGACACGTACTAACACACGCACACACACAGATTCGCACTGTGAGATGTGTTGTGTTGTGTTGTGTTGTAGAAAAATCTCTCTCCTTTTTTGTTTTCAATCTTCTTTAATGATATTTATCGTTTTTTATTATTTTTCAAAAAGAAAAACAATGTTTCTTCTGCTTTGCCAGTGATGCATCTTAATGAATAGGCGAACTACTTACTTACTATACAGCGTGACAAAGAGCAGAGAGTATGTGTGTGTGTGTGTGAGGAGTACAGTAGGAGAGAGAATGACCGAACGAGAACAACCATTGAACATTAATCACATCGTCTACACACACACACACTCTTTCTCTCTCATTGTATGTACAAAAAAAGGAAGAAAAAGGAAACGAGTGTTGCAGAAATCACGTGACTTTGTGTTCATGTAATTATTGATCTTTTGTGCTTTTTTTCATGTAAAACTAACTACTCTCCTCTACTCGACTGCTAAATAATCATCATAATAACAATAATAATAATATTACTAATATTTTGTAATTAATTAACTAATTATTGATTTATTTACTGATTGACTGATTGATTTACTTTGTACCGTCTGTACTTTTATTTTCTTTTCTCCTCCTCCTCCAATTCAAATGAGAATCATAATGTCCTGTCACTCTTATATAGTTAGTTGTTGTCCATGTCTATTATCTACGGGACAGTGTGTGATTCTTATTTCTTTCACCAAAACACAACAACAAACACTTAGTGTACTACTGGTAGCAATATACTAGTAGTAATAGTAGCAGCAGCATTCTTACAAGTAAAGTATCTTATTTATTCGTTACTTTCCTGTCGTTTGTTCTACAATCATCTCTTTGTTGATCTTCTCTCTGTAAACGGCTGCTACTGTTGCTGACATACACTACATATGAGATTTATGCATTCATTTGTTGAGTTACTGACTTCTTTTTTTTCTGTTGTTGTTTGTTTGTTTTTTCTCTCACTGATTCATCATCCATCATACTCCTTAATTTAATGATTATTATTATTATTATTTGTGATAGTAGTCAGTAGTCAGTAGTGATTGTTGATGACATTTCATTTTGTACTTTTCAAATGTATTGTATTGCCAAACGAATTTCTAATTTTTTTAATAGAGGAAATGAAATCAAGTAGTGTTTTTTTTTCACAGTTGAATTGTCAGTCAAATTATTTGACTCATGAGTGTTTGCTTCTATTGATTGTCTTGTTCAGTTTATTTTTTATTCCTTTTTACATATTGGTCTCATGTAATTGTGACTTGGTTTTTTTTGTCTATGTGTGTAATTGTTGTTGGCGTTGTTGTAACATCAGTCATTTCCTGACTGTGTGTGTGTCTGTGTGCGTGTGTGTTTATGTCTATATATGTATGTATATCACACTGATTCAATTCTTTTATTCCTTCAACGCCGCCACCTTACTGCCGCTGCCGTCGTAGTCGCCGCCACCGCCGCCTGGAATTTCCATCTTATTTGTACACTCTACAGGCCATCTATCTATCTATCTGTCTATGTTCTCTTGTCTTAGACTTTTTTTTTCATTTTTGAAGCGCGATGTAGTTAAAAAAAGTTCAAATTCAATTAGTTGATCAATAAATAAACTGTATGAAGAGTATCAGACGAAACATTTGTACTTATTTCATTTGATGGTATTATTATGATCATTGAATAATAATAATAAAGGCCAAACAAAAAGTAATTTCTATATATAAATATACATTACACACACACATTGTGTTTATGTATTCATTCATTCATTCATTCATCCATCTAAACTCAGATCTCATACAGTTGAAAAAATCCATATTGCGAAAAAAATGCTCATTATTACCTGACATGAAGTCAGTCAGTTAGATGCAACGTAGTTCATGTTGCCATACCACATTACGACACACAGAGATGTAATTGTCAATTCAAATCCTATAAGGGTAAAGATAATAGGAGTAATACTGGTAATAGAGAAGATTAGGGTTCGCAGATATTATTCAAGAAGTATAATTCAGTGAGATAAGTTTAGAAAGACAAAAGTAGGGGTGTTGATGAATCCAGAAGATTAGGATTTGAGAGAGCTCAACAAATGGATGCACTTGCGCCATTGCCAACGATTTTGAGCCATGTCATTCAAGGTCTCTAACCATTGGTGACTTTCGTCTCATGGATCCCAACCAAGTAGTCTACACCCACGAACATGACTCAGTCCACTTGTCGGTGACTTGATGGATTTGTGACATGTTTTGGTCTGTCACCCTTACCTTTCTTCCAACCTACTCCTACACTACAAAACATAGCTCGTCGAGGCAGTCGGTGGTTAGCCATACGTAACACATGTCCCAACCACCTCATATCAAACGGTTAATGATGATGACATAATTATCAACAACGTTGTTATTATTTATTTAGATAATAGCTTTACTACCTCTTCTACTATTGGATTTGAATCGACAATTACATCTCTGTGCTAATGTGGTATGGCAACATGAACTGATGTACTTTTACGTACGAAGTTCTACGTTGCTTCAGACTGACTGACAATTTCTAATTCTTTACTGAACAGAATAAAATGATTCTTTTTGAATTTGATAGGTGAATAGATAAAGTGACAATAAGCTTGACCATCGTTGATATTTTCCTAGACAAATTTGAAATCAGGCTATTGAAGAATCATGAATAAGCCAGATTCTTACTACCGATACATGGATGTTAACCTATAAGCGTAAGTGATGAAAGTATTAACAAACAAGAGCTGTTGAACAAGTTTTGATAACGTGCAAAAACGTAAAGAAAAATTCATGAATCATTCATTTGTAGACCACCATTACAAACCTGAAAGCACTGAACGTTCGTTTCGTCTTAGTATGGGACTCATCAGCAAAGCGCATCTACAACCTCTGCATGAGCAAATCGAACCTAGGACCTACGGTCTAGTGAGCAAAATCCTAACCTCTAGACCACTCAGTCGGCACTCACTGGTATTAATATATTACTTTAATAAATCTAAGGCTTAGCGCAACCTTATCCATTGTCTTCGGTGGGTAGTTACCTACACTCGAGAGGATTGAACTCCACTGATCACATTTTTTAACTAGAACTGCGAGAATTTCTTCATATGATCTGGCTCTTCTATCGCACACGCAACAATAAATGCAAGAGAAGACAACTAGTTTATCAACAGACTCAGAAGCAGAAGGTCTCAACATACACAAGAGAAAAAGCAATATTCTCCGATACAACACTACATGCACCAGCCAAATCACTCTTCATGGAGATGCCTCGGAGGACGTAAGAACCTTTACACATATAGGCAGCATCAATGACAGTCAAGGTGGATCCGATGAAGATATGAAGGCGCGGGTCGGGAAAGCAAGGGCTGCATTTCTACAATTGAACAACATCTGGAACTCAAAACAACTATCAACCAACACCAAAGTCACAATTTTCAATACTAATGTCAAGACACTTCTACTATATGGAGCGGAAACTTGGAGAAACACAAAAGCCATCATCCAGAAGATAAAAGTACTCATTAACAGTTGTATACGCAGAATACTTCGTATTCGTCGGCCAGACACCAACAGCAACAATCTGCTGTGAGGAAGAACAAATCAGATCCTAGTGAAGTAAGAAATCAGGAAGCGGATAGGACACACATTGAGGAAATCAACCGACTGTGTCACAAGACAAGCCCTCACTTGGAACACTCAAGGACAAAAGAAAAGAGGAACACATTACGCCGAGAAATGGAGATGGATATGGAAAGAATAAACTAAAATTGCAGAGAACTGGAAAGGGAAGACTAGGACATAGCAGGTTGGAGAATACTGATCGGCAGCCTATGTTCCATTGGGAGTAACAGACGTAGGTAAGTAAGTAAGTAAGTAAGGTATAGAAAATCTGTACATCGTAACATGTGTAAAACACTTCAAAGTGTAATCATTATCAATATAAATATATGTTTTAAACCTAAAACCAAGATACCTACTAATAACTTATCCGCAAACTAAGTAAATATACTACGTCTTGTGCAGACAACAAATCCACATGATTAGTTTCACGAATTAAAATTAAATCCAGGTGATGTTATTGAATGAATCGTATGATTGATCTAGATTTTTAGCTACGTCAACTTCCATATAATAAAACAAGAGTAGTGGTTTGTGGATTCATCGGAGTTAAACGTCAGCTAAGACAGACAGACAGATACAATGCAGAACTTCGTACGTACGTACATCAGTTCAGGTCGCCATACCACATCAGCACAAAGACGCAACTGTCAGTTCAATTCCAAGAGTGATAGCAATAATAGTAGTATTAGCAGTAATGGAGAAGATTAGGAAGCGAAGATATGATTCGAGAAGTATAATTCAGTAAGATAAATTCAGAAAGAGAAAGGTAGAGATCATGAGGAACGCAGAAGCTTAGAATTTCATAGAACACAGAGGGTGGATGCACCTGCGCCATGGCAAACGAATTTGAGCCATGTCGTTCAAGGTCTCTAACCATCGGTGACTATCGTCTCGCGGACCCCAACCAGGTAGTCTACATCTACCAACATGACTCAGTCCACTTGTCAATGACTTCATAGATTTCTGCCATATTTTGGTTTGGCCACCCCTAACTTTCTTCCAACCTACTCCTTCCTACACTGCAAAACAAAGCTCGTCGCGGCAGTCGGTGGTTAGCCATGCGTAACACATGTCCCAACCACCTCAACTGATGAAGTTCCACTACTTCATCTATTGATTTGCCACCCCTACCTAGAACTCGTTTCCTAACGACAGCATTGCTTACTCTGTTGTCCCATGATACACGAGCAATGCTTCGGAGACATTGGTGATCGAAGACTAGTAACCTACGTCAGCTAAGATGTGAACCTTGTGTTAGATCATAAAAACTGGTTTAGATGTAACCATAACTATCTTCGTTATAATGAAAACAAATATTCTATATCAGGATTAGAGAGAGTTTTATTACAGAATAGAGAAATCCCGATGGAGAAACATATTATTCGATAAAAAACTATAGTTTAAAATCCTTAGCTTTAAGGTTAGGTTTAGCAAGTGTTTGACAGCAAATCTTTTGAGGTCAAAACTAACATTATAATAAAGCTCAACATTTTAAGAGTCGATATTTACTACTCCTGTTAGAAATTCATTCCAGTTTGCCAGATAAACAAATATGCAGATTATATCTTAAGGTTACTTACTCACTAAGGTAGAGGACTAATGGCAATATAATTCAGAAGCATTTGAACTCATTTGAACAGCATGAAATGTTTATTCTGGAAACTGATATCAAACGTTGAATTAAGGCGAGATTTAAGTAACTTCAACTGCACTGCACTACACAATATTATTGCTGTGCTGAAAAACGCAACATACAGAAACTTTAAGATGAACTGATGACATATTTTTACAGATAATTTGACACAACAATGTTCAAGCCCTATGATGTATCCTATAATAATTCTATTGCCAACCTGTGTCACTTGTGGCATAGGCTTGATATCCGTTCGCTAACCAAAGGACGAGTGTACTGCGCAGCAGTTCGTTCCGTTCTCTTATATGGCTGTGAAACATGGCCGTTAAGAGTAGAAGATGTTCGTAGGTTACTAGTATTCGATCATAGATGTTTAAGAAGCATCATTGCTCGTATATCGTGGGACAACCGAGTAAGCAATGCTGTCGTTAGGAAACGAGTACTAGGTAAGGATGGCAGATCAATCGATGAAGTGGTGAAACTTCATCAGTTGAGGTGGTTGGGACATGTGTTACGCATGGCTAACCACCGACTGCCTCGACGAGCTATGTTTTGTGGTGTAGGAGTAGGTTGGAAGAAAGCTAGGGGCGGCCAGACCAAAACATGGCACAAATCCATGAAGTCACTGACAAGTGGACTGAGTCATGTTGGTAGATGTAGACTACCTGGTTGGGGTCCGCGAGACGAAAGTCATCAATGGTTAGAGACCTTGAACGACATGGCTCAAAATCGTTTGCGATGGCGCAGGTGCATCCACTCTTTGAGCTCTCTCAAATCCTAATCTTCTGGACTCGTCAGCACCTCTACCTTTGTCTTTCTGACCTTATCTCACTGAATTATATTTCTTGAATAATATCTTCAAACCCTAGTCTTCTTTATTACCATTAAAACCTCTACTATCGTTATCACTATGAGATTTGATTTGACATTTACGTCTCTGTGTGTCGTAATGTGGTATGGCCACATGAACTTATGTACACATACGTACGAAGTTCTACGTTGCAACTGACTGACTGACTGACTAACATACATAGTAAAACATGGAGTTATTTTAGAGAAAAAACCAAAAGAGTTTAGAAATTAAACACTAATGTATTTGGTTTTTGAAAATAAGCTGTTTTCCAATTGAGAAAATTGACTATCAGTGCAATCGACTAAACAGTTGCTACTTTGCTAGTTTGAGCCAATCGTTTCAATTCATTGATACAATGCGTTAAAGTGTCTTTTTCTTGAGCAGGAGTGATTCCTTTGATGACATGATCTACAACCCAATTTACCATATGTTGTTGAACATAACGTTTTCGTGTATTTTCACGTTCAACATGATAGTCCTAAAGAGAGAGAAGAATCATTAGAAATAAGGTCATTAATAGAAATTCCATAAGATGAGTTACATAGTGTGTGTGTGTGTGTGCGTGTACTTTTAACTACAATACTACATTAATAGAAATGACTAAATATTCGTTGTCATTGAAATTAAAAGGAAAAAAGTATAACATCATAAAAACAGAAATTATTAGATTGATTAATTCTAGATAGATAGATATTTCAACGTACAGTCACAATAATAAACAAGGTTTAAAACTTTGGAAAAATTACAACATACAGCAAATATGTGAATATTTTGTTGCGATTACCGTTAAAAACGGCAGTGAATTGAAAAAAACTATTCTGAATTATTTTGTTTTTTTTTTCGTGTATTACTTGCAACAACAGCATACATGGTCTACTATAACTGTTGACTGTACTAATAAATAAGGACAGTCAAATTGTTTTTTTACAATCCCGACTGAAGCTACTACCTTGACAGTCAGTCAGTCAGTTGCAACGTAGAACTTCGTACGTATGTACATAAGTTCATGTTGCCATACCACATTATTAGCACAGAGACGCAAATGTCAAATCAAATCCCATAGTGATAAAGATGGTAGAGGTATTAATGTTATAATAAAGAAGACTAGGGTTTAAGATATTATTCAAAAAATATAATTCAGTGAAATAAGGTTAGAAAGACAAAGGTAGAGGTGCTGGCTAATCCAGAAGATTAGGATTTGAGAGAGCTCAAAGAGTGGATGCACCTGCGCCATTGCAAACGATTTTGAGCCATGTCGTTCAAGGTCTCTAACCATTGATAACTTTCGTCTCGCGGACCCCAACCAGGTAGTCTACATCTACCAACATGACTCAGTCCACTTGTCACTGACTTCATGCATTTCTGCCATGTTTTGGTCTGGCCGCCCCTAACTTTCTGTCAACCTACTCCTACACTACAAAACATAGCTCGTCGAGGCAGTCGGTGGTTAGGCATACGTAACACATGTCCCAACCACCTCAACTGATGAAGTTTCACCACTTCATCGATTGATCTGCCATCCTTACCTAGTACTCGTTTCCTAACGACAGCATTGCTTACTCGGTTGTCCCACGATATACGAGCAATGCTTCTTAAACATCTATGATCGAATACTAGTAACCTACGAACATCTTCTACTCTTAACGGCCATGTTTCACAGTCATATAAGAGAACGGAACGAACTGCTGCGCAGCACACCCGCCCTTTGGTTAGCGAACGGATATCACGCCTATGCCATAAGTGACGCAGGTTGGCAAAAGCCAATCGAGCTTTCTGTATCCGAGCTGAGATTTCGTCAGTCACCAGACCGTCAGCACTGATGAGACTCCCCTTGACACGTGGTGGTCGGGCTTGACTATCCTGAGATATATTGGCTGGAACTTTTGTTCCTGAAGGTTCTACCATGCCAGGCAATTGGAGAACGATGAGACTAAAAGCAGCTACCCAAGGTCTGAAGGCGAAGTCGTACTGCTGACTCCAGAGGGGTGTAGCAGCATGGTGTTTACCTCGGACAACTAGCATCTGCACAGTGCTGCCCTCTCACAAGGAAGGAAAGGTTGGAAAAAGCTGACCCTAAAAATGTCACACCTCACCTTACCTCACGGATTTCCGTCTCCGGAGGTAAGAGTGCCCACTAAAGGCTTTCAAGAGTGGAGCTAATACTCAAAAAACTTCTCATAAAAAGGCGGTGCGCGACCGGCCTCAAGCAGTAGTCCCTTCGGCTCTGCGGTCACGCTCCCAGGTCGTTAAGACCAACACTAATCTACCTACCTTTTCAGGTTCCTCAAGAAACAACCTTCCACGGTGTGGACAGCCGGGAAGTGACAACCGCCCTCATACCCGTGTAACAGCACACGAGACCAAATTGGTCAAAATCAAATCCTGACTTCTTTCCAATGCAGAAGAGAATGTAATGTGGTAAGTAACAACTAGTTTCACGAAATCTGTACCCTTAAGAGACCTAGCATATGTAAAAGATGCTTGTAACCTAATCCTCAATAAGTTTGTAAGTTTTGCTGTTACAACACAAAGAGAGTGATAATCCCAGAGGCTATCGTCTTTTTGGTATTGGAAAGTAAGTCAGTCAGCTACAACGCAGAACTTCGAACAAACGTACATTAGTTCAGGTTGACATACAACATTAGCACAGAGACTCAACTGTCTATTCAAATCCCTTAGTACACGAGGAAGTAGAAGTATTAGCAGTAATCGGAGAGATTAGGGGTCAACGATATTAATTAACAAGTGGAATCTAGTGAAATAAACTTAAAAGAAAATGATAAATGTGATGAGGAATTCAAGAGATTAGGATTTGACAACACAGAGAATAGATGTGCATGCGCCATTCCAAACGGTTTTCAGCCATGTCATTCAAGATCTCTAACCACTCATTACTATCATCTAGCGGGCCCCAACCAAGTAGTCGACACTTAGCAACATGACTCAATCCAGCTGTCAGTGACCTCATGGATTTGTGCCATGTTTTGGTCTGACCGCCCCTAACTTTCTTCCAATCTACTCCTAAACCTTAAAATAAAGCTCATCGAGGCAGTTGGTCGTTGCGCATTTGTGATACATGTCCCAACCACCTCAACTGATGAAGTTCCACTACTTCATCTATTGACTTGCCACCCCTACCTAGAACTCGTTTCCTAACGACAGCATTGCTTATACGGTTGTCCCATGATACACGAGCAATGCTTCGGAGACACCTATGATCGACGACAAGCAACCTACGAATGTCCTCTACTCTCGCCAGCCATGTTTCGCATCCGTATATTAGGACGGATCGAACTGCTGTGCAGTACACTCGTTCTTTACGTTAGCGAACGGATATCTCGCCTGCACCATAGGTGACGCAACTTGGAAAAAGTCAATCGAGCCTTTTGTATCCGTGCTGAGATTTCGTCACTCAACAAGCCATCACCACTGGTAAGACTCCCAAGAGAATGAAGTGGTCAACACACTCAACTGCTTCACTCACTATCACTAGTTCAGGTGCCGACGCATGCCTATCCTGAGGCAGCATTTTGCATTTCGACAGGGATAATCGCATTCCGAAAATGCTGGCGTTGTTGCTTAGGATGCTCAGAAGACTGCATTTTGTCAGCGTTTTCACCAAGTAGAACTATGTCATCGGCATATTCCACGTCAACAAGCGAGTCCCCTAGTAGGTCAACTCTTGAAATGTCAGAAGATGTTATCTCCAAAAGTACGTCCACGACAAAGTCGAATTTAAATGGAGAGAGTGGACAACCTTAACGAACACCACTTGATGACAGTTCGCCATAAGTTCTCACTCAGCCAGTAGAGTTCGAGTAGAGAGCCTATCCAAGGTTAATGTACTTCTATGATACTCCTTTTAGTCAGATTTCGCTACAGAACCTCATGAACGACAGAGTCAAATGCTGTTTTAAGGTTGAGAAATACAACTATAGTGGGACGTTGAAATGAATCTTTATGTTCCAGGACCTGAGTACGAGTGAATATTTGGTCTACACACCCACGTTCAGGTCGAAAACCAGCCTGGTTTTCTCTAGTCTGCACTTCACGAGCTCCAGTCAGGCGTCTCAGTATTATCGAGGCTAACATTTTAGACACTATATTAAATAGAATGATTCCTTTGTGATTATCACAAAAGGGCTTGTCTTTTTTAGACAGAGACAATCAATGATTGAGACCAATCCAATATGATTACGTCCAGTTCCCAGATTCTGCCTAAGATCTCAGCCAATATAACTGTCAAAAATGGACCACCATCCTTAAAAATCTCGTGGGTAAGCCTGTCAGGGCCTGGTGATCTCCTTCGACTTAGACTTCCTATAGCTTTTTCAACTTTATAAAGATTCTGAGGACTTACATCAATTCGCCATCCAGTTTGACTGGAGATCATGGGCAACCAAAGCGTGGCTGAAGGTCAGTTGAAATGCTCCCTAAAGTGTTCTGCCTATTGATCCAATCTCCTAGTTTGAGAATGAATATTAAGCCCATCCTTCTCCGAGATAGTCTCACTTACATGCGGATTCCTACTACCGGTTTCCTTGATAAGTCTGAATAGTTGTCTACTGTTGCCTATCGTTGCTGCCTTTTCCATCTCTCTCCCTTTCTCTACCCACCACTGTTTGCGATCATTGCGTAGGCTTTTTATCAGCCTGCGTCTAAGCTGACTCCACTCTTCATCGAACTGAGAGCCAGACCGGATGAGTTCCCGAGCATTTATCAGGTCGGTGGATGCTTCTGAGATCCACTTCATCTCCCTAACATTGTGGTGTACATTACTAACAGATACGGACTTTTTCTAGGATGTTTTGGAAGTGTTAGCTCTTTTCTTCAAAATGCCTTACTGCCGAAGACGGAAATCCCTGAGGTAAAGTGAGGCGTGATACGTTTAGGGTCGATCTTACCGAACGCCTTCCTTCCTTGTGGGAAGGCAACATCGCTGAAGATGCTGGTTGTCCCAGGGAAACACCTTACTGCTGTCACACCTCTCAACAGTCAGCAGTACGACTTCACCCTCAGAACTTGATTTGCTTCTTTAGTCTTACTGTTATTCAATGTACCTGCTTGGAATGGTAGGACCTAAAGGAACATATATTTAGGCCAACATAGCTCTGTTGAATCATTACAACAGGCGAGTCCGGCCACCACGTCCAGGCAGCAACAGCTACGGTCGAGAACAGGTTACGGAGTTATTTAGTACTGAATTACCGTATACTGAACAATCATTTCGGCATGCATACGTCGTCTTTTCCTCCCATCTAGAACTAATCATTAAGGAGGGCATTCTAGTGCAAAAGGCGAGATCAAATCTTTTACGTCTGAAATTTCGTTTCTTACATCAAGTAGTGAATTACTGGGTTCCTCATCCTGAACAGTAGTCACCAGAATCTCTCTATACATTCAGAGCGAAACTGGATTTACACAGTACTACGAATTGCAGAGACTAATATTGGTCGACTGATCTATCCTTACTGATGAAAACTGGAAACCTGGAACACTCGCCGTCTAGTCCTAGTCTCAACATTTCACGTTTGTACTAGCTTTTTGTGTAATTAGAATCTCGATTCATCGTTAATAATATGGATATGTGTTTGCGAACTAGAAAATTTGTCGTAGCTGAATATTGTTAGCTATACCTAGTATATTTATGACTGAAAACTTACTAAACGGCGTTGTACTGTTCGGTACACATTTTGAAGACGTTCACGATAAGTGGCTTCGAGTTGTAGGGCGATATTCTCTTTCTTAGCAAGTATATGTTCAGGAACAACAGCTGCCCTTGCTATTTCCGTTTCACACGTTTTGATTGTATTGTCTACATAACCTTTTACTTCATTTAATGGTTGATAATACATCGCTTGATCGTGTTCCTAAGAGCACGTCACATAAATACATTCAACTTACTTCCTTAAGTTTTTCAATAAATTTAGTAGCATGAGGGCCTAGTTTTTTGATAGCCCCGGTACATACTAAACAAAATACAATAAATTCAAACCAATGGCCATCGTATATCCATATCTCCTTGTTCATCAAAAACATAAACGAACCAAACAAGAACATATATGGCCCTTAAAATAAGAGGATATATGTGAAGTTACCAGTGACACCGGTTTTATTGTAAAATGGTTGAAACCAAGAATCAGGAAATACACCCATCCTAACTTTGGGATGACAATATGGAGCTTTGTAAGTCGGGTAGTTATTGAAGTCACGTTCCTTGCCATAATAGATTTCGTTTGCCTTCAGCCACTTAGCGACAGAACTAGTGACATCCTACTAATAAAGATTTTCAATGAATTCCCACTTCTTCATATTGGTTAGCTAATGATTCCGCCTTCATTATAGGATCATCAGATTGGTTCGGCTTCTGAGTGGCTGTCGCCATAGCACGAAGATTTGAACACAGTTTAAAACTCTGAATGCATGTTCTGTATTTACCTGGTATGCTAAAAACTATTCAATGTGGAGGAATAAGAAGACAAAACGTACTAAGTGAACAAGGTGACATTGCGCGCACTCCAATTCTACGTGACCTAGTAAACGACCTTTACACTAAATGGTATAAACTTGTGACTACAGACTTTGGTTAGTTTACTTTTAGGCAGGAAGTATCTTGTGTGCTAGGAGTATGTAAGAAGCAGTGTATCATAAGAAGAAATAACAGGTATTTGGCAGTGTCCAGTGGATGGTAGTCTGGCTAATCGACTAATAGTTTGGCAGTTATTTATGAATTTGTGTGTTCCATGCTTTTGTCACAGAGTACTTGGGTTTCGAGATGCTAGTAGCTATCAGTACCAGTCCAAAAGTCGGTAGGTTGCAACTTGAAGAATGATAAGTTCTAATGCTAGGAGAAGATTTCAGAACCAATTGATCGGACAAATATGTTAAGCAATTGATAGTGAAGATTGTGAAGGAACAAAATTGTAAGCAAAAAAATAAACAGAGATAATAAGCGAGGTAAAATTAATTTAGCGATCCGAGGTAGTGACAATAATAAGAACTAACGAGTTTCGAGATATGCATCAGGCAGGACTGATCCTAGAGAGAGATGATAATCCGTGAGTACGTGCTTACCAAGTCTCTTCTTGAAGCTATCTTCTAAGGGGGCTGTAGTCACCTCGGCTGGGATAACATTCCAACTCTTAGTGAGAAAACGTGTGCACGAACCTGGGTGTTCGCTCTTTTGTGTTCATATTTTCGGGGATTATCTGGAGGATCGATGTGGTTATGTTTTGAAAAGATGCTCATGTTGGGACGATTCGGTGTACTTAGTATGTTGTATGCTATTGTCAGATCATCTCTGATTGCTCTGTAACTCATGGGGAATTATCCCAGATGTTGGAGTTTATATCCGTATGGTTTTTTCTATAATTCTGTTCTTCAGGTAATGTTAGAAGGTTATGTTTAACAGGCGCCTGTATCTGGTTATAGGAAATCACAAATTCTTACAGACAGAAACCATGATACATTTAAGAAGCAAAAGAGAAGCGGGATAAGATTGTAACGGACTACTGTCTTGAGTCTTTATGAACATATCAAGTTCCTTCTGAAGGACACCTAGGAAGTTGTATAAACCAACGTACATAGCGGTTAACCCCAATACTTCAGAGAGTAGTGATAAGTAAACCCCGAGGTAAACAGTTATGTGTGTCTTAGACATTAGTGATGACATAACTCGATTCATTAGAAACGCCTTTTTTGGGGGTTCTGTGGCAGTGTCTGCCATTCAAAGGTGTACCGAAGAAGTACAATAACCTAATACAAGCTCTCTTCTACACGAGAACACCACTGGTCGAGTAAGAGCTTATGGCGAACTGTCATCGCAATTCCTTACTTCAAGTGATGTCCGTCAGGGATGTCCAATTTCCCCATTCTTGTTTAACTTTGTCGTAAATATGCCTTCACAGTTAACATTAACAGGAGTTGACGTTTTACCAGTAGACAGGCTTACTGACTTGGAATATGCCGATGACATAGTTCTACTTGGTGAAAACGCTGACAAAATACAGTCTTCTGAGAATCCTAAGCAACAACGCCAACATTTTCGGAATGCGATTATCCCCGTCGAAATGCAAAATGCTGCTTCAGGAGAGGCGTGCGTCGGCACCTGAACTAGTGATAGTGAGTGAAGCAGTTGAGCGTGTTGACCACTTCATTTCTCTTGGGAATCTCACCAGTGCTGGTGGCTTGTCGAGTGACGAAATATCAGCACGGATACGGAAGGCTCGATTGGCTTTTGCCAATTTATGTCATTCCGAGAAAACTAGTCAGTTTGGCGCATATAATTTTAGGCTTATTGACAAACTTTAAGAAACAGATCTTTTGCCGCAGTAAATAAGTCCTTAAAAGAAACGGTTTCCACGAAATTTTGGAATAATTACCGACGTCATTAGTGTTAGTCGACACTGAATGCACTCGGCCACTTATTCGCACCCGCTGACGATTGCATATATGCCCTGGTGCACATCCTTCGCACTAAATAGATGCTTTAGATAATTTACTTCTCGATATACTTGGGGAATAACTTTAACTAATCCTTCGGTGGTAACTTAGTGCCATTCAGTTTGAACCCATTGATCGTATATCTTTAATAATAATATATTTATTCTCAAATAACTAAGTTACGAGAGTCACGCGAGTTTACAGGCTAGATCAAATTGTCACATGCTTTCACAATTACTGCAAAAGTTATAGCAGTTAAATTAAGTATAAGAATCAGTTTCTGGTAGCGTACTTACACCATGTCACTGACAGAAACAGTATAATACAGCCACATTTTCAATACTAGAGTACAAATAAGGAAGGTGCACAATAGGTTCTTTTGGCGATTTGCCGAGATCAATAGTAAAGCACTACTTAACCTGTAATGTTGATGTAGTCGGTACTGTAGTAAGTCAAGATAAAATTCATACTGACCACTTTAATTAAAGTAAATTATGGGAATATAAGAATATAACCAACAGATAAAGGAGTACAGCAAAGATGAAGGAAGGGTTGTGCAGTTTCAGGTGGATAGAAGAGAAGTCGAAGTAAGAAGCTGGATTTATGTACGTTGAAATCGAAAGAGTAAAGTTTGTAAAAAGAAAACATCGATGATCGACTCGATCGAAGGCTTTTAAGAATTCGAAGTGTGTCAAGTTTACTTTCATCTTGCAATCGAGGGTGGCTGTTCATCTGTCCACCGCAGTTGGCGAACTGTCGATCTGGAACTAGCACTTCTTAAACCCGTGTTTTTCGGTGAAAAGATGATTAAAGACAACACGTAGCCAAGTAGTCCGTGGTATATCAAGGACACTGTAGCCTTTGGAAGCATTAAAGTAAGAGTTAGGTGTCAAGTATTTAGAGGTTCGTTGCACTGACTTTCTCTGAAAATTGATGTGATTTGTGTCGGCTTCTATTTGTCGAGGACTATGCCTTGGTTTAGCGAATATGAGAACATCACACAGTAGTGTTTGAAGAACTGAAGCAGTTCTTCCAGCGTAGTACGTATGTACATCACTCGTCGAGGCAGTCTGTGGTTTGGCATATGTAACACATGTCCCAACTACCTCAACTAATGAAGTTTCGATACTTCATCTATTGATCTATCACCCTTACTTAGTACCCTCTTCTTAACAACCTTGCTTAATCAGTGGTCTTAAGATATATGAGCAATGCTTTGAAGAAGCATATGGTCGAATACCAGTAACCTGCGATTATCTTCTATTCTTAATGGTCATGTTTCACACCGATAAATAAAATAGCCATTATTGAGAAGCTGAAAATTAGCATGGCAACATAAACTGATGTACTTACGTACCAAGTTCTACGTTGTAATTATGTGACTGAATGGTAATCAGAGCTAACCAATTCAGACACATTGACAATATAGATTGCATTTTTCTGATACATTAGGGTTAGATGAAGAAGTAAGTTGAAAATAAAGGTACATTGTGTATAGTAATGGTTACATGAATCCAGTGTATACATGAAAGACAAACTGTTCAATGAATTTGACAATTTTATTTTGTTAAAATTTCATTTGATGAACCACCCATCATTGAAGATATGATGATGGTGTTACGCTTGCATGTAAACACGTCAACTTGATATACGTGAACTATTACGAGTTTACCTAGTCGGAAAACGAGAGCGAGGATCGAGGATCCGGTGATACGACATCCTTCTCAAATCCGATTATCCCAAACCCCATTTTTTGTGAAAATAAGAAGACATGATGTGAAGCAGAATCTGTATTCTACAAGCATCCAGAAAGTACAAGGTCCTAATCCAGAAGAGAATCAGGATCCCGGACTACGGATCCGGGACCGACCCGTGGTCGTGGTCATAAAACGTTACACATAATGAGTATTTGTACATTCTGGTCGAATAGGAAACAGCATCGAAGTCTGTGACATTGGCAGTTAGGACGACCAATAGGAAGTAACATTTGAAGTGACATTGATAGTCAGAACAACCAATAAGGAACAACACTGGAGCAAGTGACATTTATATCTAGGACGACCATAAAATTGACCAGCAGGAATTAACCAATAGGAATTGACCAATAATTCTCTTAGGATATTGGATGAATATCGCAACAGTAAGAAAAAATTAAAACTTGCTAATTATTTGAAAAAGACTTCATGATGAGAGCTGAGATTTTTCAGAAGCCATTTGGCTGACGTCACTTCTAATAACCGGAGTGTAGTTAATATATGTAAATAGAAGACCAAAATTATGTAGGGAACCATGTGGCCTGCTTCATTTATGTTACTGAGATTTCTGACTTGTCTTCCTCATATGGTAGAATTATACGTTTGTTTGCTTATAAACTTGATTTCTTCTTTTTCTGGCATTTATAGATTAACTTCTCCGCCAGTAGAACCTTCGGGGCTACTGCCGGTCCCAAGCCCGGGTAAAGGAGGAGGGTTGGACATGGGGGTGGCGACCCCATTCCGTCAAAAACTAACTTGCCAAAAAACCGCTAACCAGAAAAAATAATTCAAACCATTTTAACTCTGCCCTGGGAGTTGGAAGAAGAATTATGACGTCTCGTGATGAAAGCCGAGTTCCCTCGGAAGTAACGGGGCTGATGCCTCTTCTGACAACCAGAGCAACCATTTTTTAGGTACATGGAACGTTCGTACATTGTGGGAGACTGAAAGACTATTTCAAGTTGCGGCAGAAATGAAAAGATACAACCTCGAGGTGCTCGGCATCAGTGAAACGCATTAAACACAGGTAGGACAACTGAGACTCGCTTCAGGGGAACTGCTGTTATACTCTGGTCATGAAGAGGAAAACGCTTCACATACACAAGGAGTTGCATTGATGCTGTCCAAACATGCACAAAAGGCACTAATAGGATGGGAATCTCATGGACCCAGGATCATTAAAGCATCCTTCAAAACAAAGAAAGAGGACATTATAATGAACGTCATCCAATGTTATGCACCTACCAACGACTACAATGACGACGATAAAGATCAATTCTACGAAAGGCTGCAGTCAATCGTCGATAAATGTTCATCAAAGGATTTGACGATTCTTATGGGAGACCTGAATGCCAAGGTTGGAA